ATATATACACACACTATTTTTATATATATATAGTATTTTATTTATATGATATAGTCTGATATGAAATGTCAAGTCTGCATCTGCCAATATCTCATTAACCTCTAAGAAATTCATCATTTTCAGGATTTAATTTTTCTTCATGCTACTACATCACCTCTGATCCAGGAGTATCACAGCAGTTTATAAATATTTACACATGATGCCTTAAATGTCTTTTTCCAGTAGATCCACATTATGCATATTGGAAATATGCAATGACAAATCCTCTAGAGCAAGTGTAGCAAGTTACATATAAAAATGTGAGATGCCAAAATAGTTCAAGACTAAAATAACTTACGGCCTTAACTGAAATAACTTATTCACATGAGACTGTTCAGATGTTTGCCTTCATGAGTAATCCTTTTCTGCTAAATCACAAACTGAATGCAAAATTTAAGCTTTCAGAATCATTACAAAGAATAATATCATTCCCTAGAAAACTTCTGCTCAACAAATTAACATAATCTAATAGGACAGCCAAGGCTTACGATACATGTATTATACTTGCAAGTATTGCTTAAGTAATATACTAATCTTAATACTTCTTACAGTGTTTTTTTTAAATTTAATTAAAGTTTCCACATCAAAAACATTTCTTGAATTTAACACTTTCAAAAATCCACATCTTAGACCTAACAAAATGAAATGTTTTTCAAGAACTTCAAATATTGTCTGCATTTTATAATAGTCAAGAGCACAAATATGGGAAATGAGGGCAAGTAGTGCATTTCCTAGTCACTCATATGATAGATAAGCTGCTTAAAGTTTTAAAGTAACAATTAACACTTAAAACAGATCCTATGCTTGACAAAGATGAGCCGCACTGTACAGTTAGTTATGCGTGTGGTCTCATTAAATATTGTAAAATACAGACCTCTTTAGTTTAATGCTACAATGAAGAAGTCAGATACATGTTTACACACAGACCCACAGAAACCCCTCAACAACAAAGACTGTTCTTTGACAATGGTGAAAAAAAAAATGTTGCCACTGTGACTGGGTTCCTCTCTTATGGACATTGACTGTTCTCTCCCTTTCTGCTCTTATTTGCCGCTCTTTCTCTTTGTCATGCACAGGCATTCCTTCATTCCACCCACAAGTCCATTTACCTGAAATTGCATATACTGCATTTCAATTCAGGCTAAAATTCTTCTAAAAATAAAAAAAAATTAAAAATAAAGAAAAGCTTCAGGAAAAGTCACGTAAGTCCACAGAGGTACAGAAAATTCTGCAGTACCCTCAATTTATTTTACAAAATCATTTCAGAACATTGGTGGGGTAGAGAAGACAAGGGACTATGAGGTATATGATAACCCATAGGGTTTGTCTGCACATGTAATTGTATTTGTGTAATCAGATTTATGATTTTTACTGACCAAGATCAGATTGTAGGCCAGGTTACATATATGTCTTTAATAGAGAAAAAAATCTGACTTCATTAAATCAACACAAGTCAGTTAAGAAAAACTTAGGATGAACCATATTGGTGCACTCTTAGACCATCTCCAGAAGAATCTGCACTTATTTAACAAAGATATAGCTTTGTATATTACCAAGATAGAAAGCTCTTTTTAACATCATAAATTTCAAAATATATACTTTTATTTCACCAATTTTCACAACAAATTGATTGCCTGATCTTGCATCCCACAAATTAGCCCTAGTTATGTTTTCAAAAGTGAGAGTAACATACTTTTCCAGGTATAAAACTAAGATTGGATGGCTTGGGGGATGTCATCATTATTCATGATGTCATAACATCAACATTAAAAAGCTCCAGGGTTGACATCCCCAGTGTTTTTTTAAAGTCAGGCAGGAAGAAAAGCTCGCAGGCTCGCTATACCTTGCTCAGCAACAGAGAAGGGCACAAGTGCAATGTCACAGAGCTCTCTGGGCCTTCTTCAACTATTGCTAAAAGAAATTTTCTTCTCTCAGACTGCTCAGCCTGTCTCCCCCCCCAAGCATAAATAAAGAGGACAAGGGGGTGTCTTCATTATTTGGCTAAATAAAAGGATAAGCAGCAGTTGCACAGATAAGTATTTATAAGCCTTGGTCCCAGAT